CAGCACTGTAACTATAGCTTTTGATTTTTATGTTGTCTAGTGTGTTCTTCTATCTTTCTACTTATTTCTATGAGTGCCGATCACAATACTTTCTGTTACTTGATTATTTCATAATATTTAACGGCCTCAAAAGGTTCCCCCTCTGTTTATTTATAGGAATGAATTATATGTTCACAGCAGAAAGTGGTTACATTAACGCATTATATCAGAACTGTTAATGTTCGTCTCACAGTATTATGATTATTAACCACTTTGGACACAAATATTGACTATTTTAAAAATAAATGTCTTGGAATAGAAGGAGTTTGAGTATTTGCGATGTAAAGAGTTAACTATTCCACCCTAGGGCATAGGAAAAAAAGAAAAGGCCAAAGACCTGTACTTTGGGAATTTTCGGTTTCCTAAAAAAATTTTCCTTAAAAAAATCAACCACTTGACATGGGTCCCACACGAAAATCATAACAGTTCCATTTATGGATAAAAACAATATTTAACTGCAAAAAAAATAAATGCAGTACAATGTAATCAATAAACACAAACTGTAACTGAAGGGAAATTCTGGTGTCCTAATTTCTATGAATGAAGCCATTTTTCAAAAGGAAACCCCAACCTAAAGCTATTTTTGGCAACTATGTCCATTCCCATTCATTCTGAAAAGTTTCCCACAAAAAAACCAAAGGCAATGCTGTTAGTGTGGTCCCTCGTAAACAAACCTTTATAGCAAGCCAGGAAAGGGACATTTACAAGGCTGTGGCGCAAACCAGGTACGTCAGGTTTTTTTTTGCTTCTTAAGGTGAGAGGGTTAAGCATCTAGTAAAAAAACTGAGAACAAAAATCTGTTTTTCACCTGCAGGAGCGGCACAACGTGTAGTCATAACCTTGTGATGCTGGCCAAATAGCATTATGCCATTTGTCACCAGTGACTCAGTTACATCCATGATTTTTGTAGCATTTTCAGCAATCCATTCCACATACACTTCTACACAGCCATAACTGTAAAACAACAATCATTAAATGAATCAACTTCATCTTGTTTCTCATACATTTTAGATATAAGTAAGAAAACTTATTGAAATCTGACATCTCCTATCTCACCAGTCATGGAAACATCATTAGTAATTCTTCTTCTACTTCTTCCTTTTATCCTCCACTGGAAGAATACCCTCATCCAGCTCATGCTAAGGTATTCTATGATTTGCTTTTTTGTTTATTGTTTGTTTGTTTATACAACGGATCAACATCATGGCACAAGGGTGGTAACCCATAATTGCTCCATTCAACTTTGAACTCAAGATTGAGTCCAAAGAAGCTTAACCCAATGCATGAGCTCCGTAGCACAGGTGGGGATCCTGAAATAATTTTGTGTAGATTTTTAACTCAAGATGTTTACTCCAAATCTCTATCCTTTGCTACTGCATGCAAATAGGAGGAGTTTCAGTATTCACAGTGTAAAGAGTTGACTCTTTCACCCCAGGGCATAGAGAGAAAAAAAAAATGCCAAAGGCCTGTATATTCAGAATTTATGGTTTTAAACCCTAAAAAAAAATTTCCTTTAAAAAACCACTACTGCCCTTACAACTGTATTCATTTGTTTGTGATTTCCTTTTTTTTTGTGTGCTTTTGTATTTTTGTTCTTCCTGTATGTCTTTAGCCTTGTGGATACCAGAGCAAGGACATTCTACATTCTAGTTAAAAGGATGGTGGAGGGTTGGGGGTGGGGGGTTGTTTCACTAAGGAAACTGGGTTATTGTTTTTTTAATTCTTATTATCTTTGTTTTATCGGATTTACCTTTAGACCTCTTCTTCTTCTTCTTCTTCTTCTTCTTCTTCTTTTTCTTGTTCTTCTTCTTCTTCTTCTTCTTCTTTTTCTTCTTCTTCTTCTTCTTCTTCTTCTTCTTCTCAGCATTCACTGGCCATAAACTCTGATAGAAAGCTCTGGTTGTTCATCCATTTCTGAACTTAAATCTTAGTCCAGAACTTGAGTTTTGCATGCACATCCGTTTTACAGATCTAGCTTATTAGTATGCAGGCTGCTGGTTCTTTGCCTCTTAGGCAGATGAACTCCAACCTTAAAAGAAGAGACCCTAATTAGTCACCTTGTAAGATACATTGTTGGGTTGGGAAGGGGGGGAGAGGGTTTTCTCTTCTTTTTCCCTAAAAATGGGGCTCTGGAACCCAAACAGGAAGTTCTGACCTATTTGTTGTGATCTTGCCACAAGTTTGTTAAATTTGTCTTGGGGGGAGGGTTGTGGGTTAGTAAGTGAATTCCACATCATCAAGCAGCTCTGCCAGGGTCTATTAAATTATATTAGTCTAAAATCAAAAAGAATAATAAGGTGACAAAAGGTGTCCCTGATGCACACACCTGTTCTTGTTTCAAATGTATTTGCTTTTCCTCATTTAGAACTCAGTATTTCATTAACCGATTAATTTGATTATTTTCTTGTGGAATCATAGTCCATTATCAGCTTTCAAAGAGGTCCCTATCAAAGACATCCAGTATAAAGTGGTAAATTCAATATAAACTTTATTATTATGTATAAGGTGGTTGTCAGTGTTTGTCTTGTTGAAAAACTACAATGATTTTACAAAAATTAACATGACAAAGTTCAGGAACCATATCTATTTCACTGAGTTGCAATGTCTAAAGAAAGACAAACATGGTTTATGTTTCAGGTAAGAAGATTTATCTGTCTCCATTTCCCAGCTCAGACCATATGAGACATTTTTTCCATTGTTAAATATTCTGTTATTCATTTCAACATTATCTAGATTTCTGACTTTATAACAATCTAGAACCATCGTTCAATTCCCACTATGGGCTGTTTGAACAGTGGTATAAAAGATGCACCATGGGAAAGTTTGGCACCTCACCACATGATATTCTCAAAGAGAGCAGTGTGGAGATGGCACATGTTTTTTTTTAAATTTTTTTAGTTAAAGATTTATGTCCTCCTGGAACACTTCCTATCCTCAGATAGTGAGATTAATTTTTTTTTTCATCATTTGTAAAAAGCCTTGGTGGCATAGTGGTTAGTACACTTTCTAATGAAACATGGGTTTAGATTCAGTCATCAGATATGGCAAGATTTTTCTGACTGCAGCCGCCTCAGCCTGGACCAGCTTCATCAAAAATGGATAACCCAGAAATGTCTGGGATTTGTCTGGAAAGGTTGCCAGGAAAGGAACTGCCCACCCTACCTCATATGCCATGACCTAATATGTGTTCCTAACTTTTCCCACCCCATGAGAATAACTGCTTTGGGATGACTTTATGCATTATTTGCTGCTTCACTGTTTAAACATTTCACCTTAAGAAGATCAAGGCAGGATAGGTTTGAAGACAATGTTTGGAGTCTCTAAATAAATCTCATCTAATAGGAATCAGTTGAATTTTTGTATGAGGGCACTCTGGGGTAAGAGGGAAGAGTGGATTGACCTGCTGGTGGGTTACAGTAGGTACAGGACAAGCAATGGATCGGGCAATGTTCTCTCAAGGAGACAGGATTTGCAGAGGATCCAGGAGATGACAGTGAATCAGCCACATTAAAAAAGACTACAAAAACTTCAGGTCAAAAGAGCTATTTGTCATACATGAACATTACATAGACAGCCACAGACTTCACTGCACATATTTAATATCTCACTAACACCTCTTCTGTTGACGTTGTTTTCCACAGTGGATTTATGTTGACCACATCAGCCTTGAGTGCTGGTTGGTCTTTACAAGCCTGAGGAGTCTGGCATTCTATGCTCAATGCACCACTGGCAAACATTTTTACTTTTTTTTTTTCAAACTGTACTTGACTGTCAGAGCCCACTAGTTGTTCTGTATATGTGCTAATCATTATGTAATAAGTAAAGAGAATAGAATAGGGTGCAATGACAGAACCTAATAAATGCTGAAAAACAGATCTAATGAGTGTATACTTACTTCTGAGCAATTTCCAAAGCTTGAAAACTGCCTCCCAAAGCCATGAAGACATTGTTGACAATTTGCAGCACTGTCTGGTATTCAGTTGAGTTATGGTTTCTGAAATTCTCAGACCAAGCTAAGTCCACAAAAAAAGTGACCCTGACCAGCGTGCGTTCAGCTGCAAAATATTTTTTTAAAAATGTTTTTTTAAATAATCCGTCTTTCCCTATCTTCACTACTGAAGAGCTGTCATAGTGTAATGGTTAGACAGATGTTCTCCTGCGGAACTGAAGGTCGTGGGTTCAATTCTGAATGGAACTGAAATGTGAAATCACCTTGGCTGCCAGGCTGATGGAGCCTTGAGTGGGCACTAAAGTCCTGGGATGTAAAGGCGGCCATCGTGATGCTGATCACATTAACTTCTGAGTTCCAACTGGTCTATAAAATGTAAGTCTAGCACCACATGCCCAATATGCATAAAGGTATTGAAAAGGGTCCTTTACTGTACTAACCCCCACTATAACACTTTTAGATGAGTGAAGCCAAAGGGATAGGGATGGGTATTTTTTAATGTGAGGCTTAATGGCCTCATAGCTGGTTCGGTACCACTTGGTGGTAGATTGATGTATGACAAGCTAGATGTTGACAAGGAACTTTTGGGAGCCAGTAAATAGTGAGGAAGCACAAATAGATCATCATGGTCTGAAGAGAATGATACAGTATGGAGTGACCTGGGGATATGTCCGGCACTCAATGCTTAGACTGCTACTTCCTTATGTGGGTTCTAGGACTCCATTTTGTGAAAAGGGGGGAGTGCAGAAACTAGATTTACTACACCACCAACAAGCATGTCTCAAAAGGTGACTAATTAGTGGATTTTTAAAATTTAAAATGACAGTGCGTCTGCCTGAGAGGCAAGAAACCAACAGTGCAGCCATTTTGAGCTGTGCAGGTCAGACATACATTTGTTATTAAATTTCTTCTCCAGTGCTTGCAATAATTTTTCACTAATCATCCAACTGTCCAGGATTTACCTCCATATATTACAGCTCTTATAGCCTCGTTAATGCAGTCGATAAGAGGCTCATTTTCACATCCAGCTGCGACTCACTGCAGCCATGGTCCGTGTTTGAAACCCGGCGGTTCCCGGGGTTCACCCAACCTCTAGGAAATGGGTACCAGAGTCGACACTCTGGGGTGAATGGAGGAACATCGCTACGGAGTTACGTGTGGACTGCGACACAGGCGGACAGTTTCTTATCAGCTGTCTGTACTGGTGGCAGAGCACTTATTGTTTATAACTGTGTGCAGTGACGCTGGTTCACATCTCCCGACTTTACCTTTACCTTTTATATAGCTCTTAAGAATTCTCTTTCTTTGGATATAAGAAGTAAAAGTAAAGAAAAAAAAAAAAAGCTTGGTACTGAAAGAGTTAATGAGTCATGAAAATAAAACTATGATTCAGTGCAAGTTTAGAACGAGTTGAAGTAACAACTGTGGGAAAGAGTGAATTGTGCTACCAGAAAAATAGAAGGGAAGATTATGCAAATCTTCCACACACATACACATACACACACACACAAATCACCTGCACAGCCAAAGAAGGAGACTCCCAAAGTCTGGTTCCCAAAAATGAAGCCATCTTTCTGTAACTTTTCAGCAACCATTGCAAGAGTGGTTTGGTTACCGTTTTTCCAGGCAATGATGATCTTTACACAGTTTCCTCTGTAAGACAAGACAACATTCTTCAGCAGCATATACAAATGTGTTTGTGTGTGTTTGTACATAAGTTTGTTTGAAATTCTTATTAGTTTTTTTTAAATTTTTTTATAGAAACGTGGAGCACAACTAAAAGAGATGAAGCCTTATTACAGGTTTTCGAAAACAGGGTCTTACGACGAATCTTTGGACTCATCAAAGTTTCAAACAGCGGGAAATGGAGAGTGAGAAGCAACAACGAAATTCATAATCTGTTTAATCAATATTTATCACTGACATCGTGAGAGCTAATAGACTTAAATTGTTGGATGACAGAGAAGTAAAAACTGTATACACAAGGGAGATGAATGGTCGTAGACCATGAGGCAGACCAAGAAAAATATGGAGAGACCTGCAAACACTTGATGTCACCAACTGTAAAGATAAGGCCAAGCAGAGACATGAATGAAGGCGGGTGAGCCCTCAACAGCTACAGGAGCCATGGAAGTGTAGCAGCCGGACATTTGCCTGCTGGTACCAGGTCTTGGGTTCAAGCCCACACTAACCCGTTTTTTTTTTAGGTTACCCTGGCTCCCTGATGACACAGCCTTGCATGAGTCTTCTTCTTCTTTTTCTTCTCTTCCACCTTGTACCACATCAAAGTGTTGGGGGGAGATGTAATGTTTGTTGATGAGTACCAGGTGATATCCTAGGAAGTAAAGGTGGCTGGAGTGATGTGAATGGCAACTGGTCTATAAAAGAATGAGTCTAGCATCATTTATCGATTTGCAAACTTTAAATCTTTTCTCTAGGCAATGCCGGCACTGTGGGTAATGAACAGGCAGACAGATTGGCTGGATCTGCACCACTGGGCGGTGAATTGATACATGACAAGGCAGATGTGGTCAAGGCTCTTTGGAAACATGCAACGGAATTAGTAGAGAAACAAGATTATTATGGCCTGGAGAGAATGAGGCATCTAGGTGTAACCAGATGGTCTGGCCGGCTCATTACACTCAGAGAAAGGCAAGACGGACATATAACCAGACTGTGACTGGTGCCATCAGTACTGGAACTCTGTGCTGGCTGCTGAAGATTAGCCTGGAGCAAACATGGGAATGCCCTGAGCGCTGTGATATCATTTCTTAACTCAACTCATCTTTCTTTATTTGCAGTCAGCATAAAAGGGCTCCTTTTACTTAACTTAATACAGTTACACAGAGTATTACACTCAGGTGTAACAAAACACAGAACAATTAATGATTAGAAAGCTCAAGTGAAGAAAAAGAAAACACATACACAACAAATATACCATCATCATCAGTTTTCACTTTTGCTGTTAAGCGTTATGGGGAGGAACTGTTTGTGATCCATTGTTTGATGGGCAGCAATGGTTATTGTCATTCTGTGTCCACATAGAGGCTCTTTAATGTCATCAGTCCATGTTCTTCTAGGGCAGCCTCTTGCTTTCACTTCCTATCTTTTAACGTTTGTAGTTGTTCAGGTTGCATTCTTACTAAACGACCAGTCCATTTGATCTTCTTTTTCTCAATGAATTTGCTACATGGTGTTGTTCCTACAGTCTGTTTGATAACATCATTTCTAACTTTGTCTTCAATGGTTAAGCTGACAGCTTTTCTGAGGCATCTGATTTCACAGGTGTTAATTTTAGATAGGTTAGCCTTTGATAATGTCCAAGTCTGGCATTGGTAGCACTGTGTTGGCATGAATCTGCTGTTTAAAATCTGTTTCTTGGTGCTCATACTTATGTTTAGATGTCTTAAAAATGGTATCAGTTGGTATATAAGTACATTGGCTTGTTGGCATCTTGTTTCTATTTCCCAATCTATTCTTCTGTCCTCTGAGAATATATTTCCTCATCATCATCATCGGGTGCCTTAATCCATAATCTGTGATCTCCTGCAGCGTGCATCCGTTCGTATGCAGACACACCTCCATGCTATGCAACAAGACTGTTTCCTAGATATTTAAATTAACATTATCACTGTACACAAAATTATACAGATTGAACCACTGTATAAATATTCCATTACACTGTAGCTACACAGAGACTCACCCTACTGAGTGAAAGATGTTGTAACATTTTAATAACACAAATACATACAGACTCACTCATTAGAGACAGTGATGCTTTCTTTCTCACCACCAATGGGAGAGAGGTATTCGTTAACCTGTTTAACAAACAGAAGACAATTGTAAATCAGCATAGTTTAAGAGTAAACTATATCCATAGGAATCAATAAAGCATTAGCATTATAATCCTTCCTTTTATTATGTTCTTTACACATTAAAATGATTCACGTAAAACACATTTCACATTTCACAGCACTACCAAAGAAAATGATGTGAGCGTGCATGTTTCCTGTGGCATTATTTGGATGTGAGTCATTCACCATTTCACAATAACTGAAAGAGAAACACTGTTGTTTTTGCACTTGATTCTTTTGCCCCAGACAATTTTACTTTTCTGGTTTTATCCATGCTATTAGCTAACAAATATAGGATCTACACAAGTTATAAAAATCTTCTACTTCTTCTTCTTCTTTCTTCTTCTGCTGCTTCTTCTTCTTCCTTTTCTTCTTCTTCTTCTTCTTCTTCTTCTTCTTCTTCTTTCTCCTCCTTCCGTTTCTTCTTCTTCCTCCTCCTTCTCCTTCTTCTCCTCCTCCTTCTTCTCCTCCTCTTCCTACTCCTCCTTCCTCCTCCTTCTTTTGTCCTTCTTCTCCTCCTCCTTATCCCCCTCTTCCTCATCCCCCTCCTCCTCCTTCTTCTTCTCCTTCTTCTTCTTTTTTCTTCTTCTTCTTCTTCTTCTTCTTCTTCTTTCTTCTTCTTCTTCTTCTTCTTCTTCAACAAATTTTAGAAAAATACCATGCCTGGAATTATAAATAAGCCGTAGTGAGTTGTTTGGTATTTAATGAGTTAAGTGTCTGAGAAAAATTTAGATCAAGAGGCAAAATACTGATATTAACAAAATCTTAACGATAGCTTCCGCATAAACAACATGCCATGCAAGCAGAAGAACAGTTTGACCATATCAAACACTGTTGTAGTTTAGAAAGAATGATAATTGAAGGCATGGTTCATTCGGTACATTGAAGGAGATGGAGAACCACTAATGACTTGGATCAAAAGTTTTGAGATTAAATGGAAAAAGAGTTACAAAACAGCCACTGAAGTGAGAAACAAATGTACAGAACGTGAAAATGTTGAAGAAAAATGATATGATGAAAACTGATGAGAGACACGTGATGTGCCTAACTTCATTCTTTACATGTTATTTAAAATACTGCACAGGACAGGAGAAATGGAGAAATTAACTGCAAACTGTTGTGACTATAATGGCACAACAGAATAATAAACTGAATAAATACTAGAAGAACTGTGGAGTGCAAATTTTTTTTTTCCACTTTTTTTTTTAACATGATGACTCACCTTGGCAACCATGTCCATATAGTTCTGAGACTTATTGTCGGCAAGAGCACTGCGGTCACTGAGTGTCATGTTTTGAAGATACAAGTTGATAGACATTGTATCTGACATGACCTGGCAAGAGGCATCTAAAAATTGTTTCAAAAATAAGAAGAGCTACATTTAACATGTTCAATTATATGACAAACTGGAAACAAACAAAGAATAGCATTATAGCTGAAATAAAAGAAATACACACAAAAAAAATGAATGTCTAATTTACACTATCACTATTAATTTGTATTAACAAATGTGTTGTCCCATTCTTTCATTTAATTTCTGGTATATGTAGAGCTTCTGCTACACGTAGACTAAAAGGACCTCTCTGGAAAGATCTCACAAGTTCCAGATGAAAGGCTACAAACAACAGAATATCTCAGTATTCTTCCTGAACATACATGTTTCATCTGACTGTGTCTTCAGCTAGCAGTAATTCATAAAGCCTATACAACCTCTCCATCATGAGTGTTCCACGGGTAATAAATTAGCCGTTCAGAGCCTTGCACTTCAGCATGACTTAGGTAATGTACCCTATAAGTCCTTGTAAGAAAGAAGTTCTAATCTTAGAAGTTACTTATGTCACATCTGTCTATTTTGAACTTAACGAATACAGGTAAAATCAGGGTCTGTGATTGCTTTGGTGAAGTGAATATCTATTATAGACCATGTTTACCCATCATCATCATCATCAGGTGCCTTACCGACTGGCGTGAGCGATCATGCCTCTCCACAATCTACGATCTCCTGCAGCATGTATGTTCGTGTATTAGACTCCATGAATATGCTTCAGAAGATAGCAACAGGTGGTATGTGCTCTGAATGGGTAGAAAGCATTCGAAAATTGCACTTAACCTCCTTAACCTGGATCTACACACCAGGTCATGCGGGTGTAAAGGGAAATGAGCGAGCGGACCAACTGGCAAGCACTGCACTAAGGATTGTGGGAAAAAAAGCATGGACAGAGCAGATATCGTCAACGCTGTACGGACTGGCCTAGTGGATAATGAGGAATCCCTGACATTAACACGATTGCGTGACATGGGAGTAAAGCATGGTGAAGCTGGTCTTTGCCGTCTTCGAGACCGAGATAGGAACAATTAGTAGAAGTACTTTGGAGTGGCTGCTGCATCGGAGGACTGAGCACCCATAATAATGCCTAATATGCAGTGACATCAATTGTGATAACATGAAATAACATAACATCTTGTAGGGAGGCTGCAGTCCGAAACCCAAGTTCAAGGTGTCACCTTCGTGCCAAAGAACTGCATGGCTGTTGGGTGAACAGTCGTTAACAAAGGCAGTCAGGTCGTTGTAGGGGCGATACTTGCTGGCGGATGTAATGTCCTAAGCCCCTTCCCCAGCTAATAGTGAGGGTACTGCTGGGTTGACCGTTTATTAATCCTCACATAATGCTTCAGGTCAAAATGGACGCTAGGCACAGCCAATTTTTTTAGCCATGGCAAATTTTTAAAATGTGTTTTTTTTGCTTCTGCCAGAGGGTGGCCGGTGCATTTTCGCTCCATTTGTAGACGAAGGATATAATCTCGTTGCCCAGCTTCTGAGTTGAGTGCATGGTGTAACACTGTGAGCTGTGGATTTCATTTAAACTGTGATAAACATTTTATGTGTTTTTCATTGGCACAGGAGCAGAGCAACTATGGGGTGACCCGTTTGCTATGAAGCTGAAACTAAGATTACCAGATAACCAGATCAGTTCGTGTGCTGACACACCTCCATGCCATGCAAGACTTTCAAGAATCTTTTCTCGTTGTCTTCCTCTGTCCCTCCCTCCACAGATCTTTCCAGTGGTCACAACATGTTCCATTTTTCCTCTTCTCATAACATGGCCGAAAAAATGATGACTGTCTCCTTCTGATTTCTGTGATTAGTTGTCTTCAGGTTCCCGCCTCTTTCTAAACCTCTTGGTTGCTCTTTTTCGCTGTCCAAGGTATTTTAAGCATTCCTCTGTAAAATCACATCTCTAAGGCCTCAAGAAATTGTTTGGCCTGCCTTCCGATTGTCCAGGACTCACAGCGATATGTTAAAACTGGATGTATGTAGCAAGCAAGAATTCTTTTTCTAACCTTTAATGACAGAGATATATTGCATAAGATGTTCTTCATTTTATAAAATGCAGTTTTTGCCTGTCCTATTCTGCTTCTTATGTTAGTAATGCATCTGATGTTATCCATGTTTTTTCATAGTGAATTTTAAAAAATTTTGACACAAACAATACATTGTAATATTTATTTCCTGGCATATTTCATGGTAAATTACAATTTATTACGGTAAATCATCTTGATCTTCCAAGATAAAATGACCAATGTAGCAAGAAAGATGATGTGATCTGAGAGATGATGTGATCTGAGCGATGATGTGATCTGAGCGATGATGTGATCTGAGAGATGATGTGATCTGAGAGGTGATGTGATCTGAGAGATGATGTGATCTGAGAGGTGATGTGATCTGAGAGATGATGTGATCTGAGAGATGATGTGATCTATGCATTTCAGTGGAAAGAATTTAGTCTGTGTGCATGTTTGTGCACACATATATATGTGGATGTACATGTGTGTGCGTGCATGCGTGCGTGCGCATGCATGTGTGCGTACTGTATTGTGTGTGTGGATGTAACTGCTGTAATGCAACAGAAGAGATACCAGTGAAATGTGTCCGGGAATTACCTGTGCAATGTATTGTAAGTGCCTGTATTATTTAAAGTACCTGCTGGTCAGCTCAAAGCCAAGCTGATCACAGCCACCTCCATCATTATACTTGAGGTGAACCTTCAGGCTCCTTTCTGTTCAGCAATGAACTTTTTTTTTTTCTGGCTGTAACAGAATCCACGGTCAAATTTTTCTCCACAGTGGACAGAACATTCTGTTTACACTATTAAATTACATATCTGCTGGCATTTTTACTAACATATGTTTAGCCTCACATGCTGAACACTGACATCCTTTTCTATTCAACGAGTGGTGACGTGATGACAGTTGCTCTTGTGTCTCCTTTGCTGCACTCTACGAATCTGTTTGACCAGGGAAAGATGAGAGACCGTAGCTTCTGCCTGACTCTATCAATCTATTCCTGCATCCTGTGAATCTGTTTGACTGAGTAAATATCCTGACTCAATCTTCTTATCTATCCATTCCTCTCTTGTGTGAATTTCTCTGACAAAGTGCTGATAAATATCAAACAAACTGTTCAGAAACAGTACACCTCATGCATTATTCAGGAAACAGAAATAAATAGGAATGTTGTAATAATTGATGGAAAAAAAAACTATAACAGAGGTACAATATCCCCCCCCCCCTTTTTTTTAAATTTTAAAACTGAGAATCTTACTTCCTGCTAGTAGAGTCAGTGCCAAGTACACGGTGAGGCAAGAGAGCCTCGTCATTATCACTGCCTCTGTGAAAATAAAAATAAAAATCAGTGTCAAAACATTAATGATAAAAACTTTTGTAATACAGATTTTAACACTGAACCTACATGTCACCTTTCAAAAAGTAATCAGAAGAACATAAAACCATTTTAATGAAGGCTCATAAAAAATAAATTAAGGACCCATGTTAGGTGTATTTTCAAATGGTGAAAACCTAAGACAGTGATTCCCAAACTGTGCGCCGCAAGGCCCCGAGGAACCGTGACCTCTTCACAGAGGCACCGTGAAATATTTGAAGATACACAAGTTTTTTTTTAAAATATCTTTCACATACGAATAGTCATACTTTTACTTAGGTTAGGGTGCCGTGGAGAAATTTTAATTTAAAAAAGGCAGCGACTAAGGAAAGTTTGCGATACACTGACTTAAAACATTTTATAGATTTAAAAAAATTGTATCAAAATAAAGGCTATTTGAGTTGTGGGTGACAGTCTTTCACTGGACACATTTTATTAAATAGAAAAATTATAACTCGTGGAATGATGTGGTCAAAAACATGCCGGCCACCTTTACTTCCAGTATATATGGGTCAACCTGGGAGATGGACCACTTTTAAATATCTCACCTGAATGTGAATTGAAACCTCCTCCTCCTACCTCCCCTTCCCACCCCCCACCGCCCCCCCCCCCACACCACTTTTTTTTAAAGGCAGATACCTGAAAATTTAACACTACAGCCAGCTAGATGTCAGCAAGAGAGGAACTAACCCAGATCTCTCATGAGAGGAACTAACCCAGATCTCTCATAAGAAGAACTAACCAAGATCTCTCATGAGATAAACTATCCAAAATCTCTCATGAGAGGAGCTAACCCAGATCTCTTATGATAGGAACTAACCCAGATCTCTCATGAGAGGAACTAACCCAGATCTCTCATGAGATGAACTATCCCAGATCTCTCATGAAAGGAAATAACCCAGATCTCTTATGAGAGGAACTAACTTAGATCTCTCATGAGAGGAACTAACCCAGATCTCTCATGAGAGGAACTAACCCAGATCTCTGATGAGATAAACTATCCCAGATCTCTCATAAGATAAACTAACCCAGATCTCTTATGAGAGGAACCAAAACGAAATCTCATGAGGGGAACTAACCCAGAAATATCATGAGGGGAAATAACCCAGATATCACATGAGAGGAACTAACCTGTAAAAATTCCTTTGGGTCACAAGAAACACCAGCAGTTTTAACTCCGCATATTTTTTTTTTCAACTTTCCTTTCTTCACGATGTGCATCAGCAGTTTTTTTCTTCCTGCGTTTCTTTTCTTTCCCCTCCAACTTTCCTTCCTTCACGATGTACACTATCAGTTTTTAAATCCCCATTGTTCTTTTTTTTTTTTTCTCCTCCAACTTCCCTTTTGTCACGATGCACGCCAGCAGTTTTAACTCTGCATGTTTCTTTTACCTTACAACTTTTTTTCTGTCACAATGGACACCACCTAAGGCTTCCTCGAGATGTGCCCAAAGGATGTGGATTGTCATCTTCTGTTGCGGGCAATCAGTTATGTTCGCAAGTTAATTTATTACAGTTTAAAAAAGTTAATTGCGCATCATTTAAAGGACTTTGCAGAACCAACCACAACATATTGTGGCTGTTTTGGTTTTTCTAGGCAAATTTACGTCCAGTAGTTTGCCATTACCTCTGGGCGGTCGGCTCTCGGTACAACTGTCGAAACCAACGCAAAACAAATCGTCCGCAGCTGGGATCGAACCCGGCACCCGGTTATTATGAAGCGCGTTGGCAACGCCTAAGCAACAGAGTTTCTTACAGTACATCTTCATTAAGTTTTTATTTCGAAACCTATCCATGGTGTTCTAGACATTCTTTTATAAAATGATATATCTGTAGCTTCCAAATACGTTTTTTTTTTTTTTCCAGTAATCTCCTAACTGCCAGTGATTCACTTTAATGCATCGGATTAATTCTATGTAGCTTTTAAAGGCCACCTCAATTGACGATGCCAATTAAAGATGAGTTATGAGTAGGATTATCTTCACAGCACTCCGGACACATCCATGGGTGCTCAGATTTCCCCCTTCAGCGTGAAGCGTTTAACAGTGCCAGTCCCATTATGGTTAGCAAAACTTCGTGTGCGTCCAGTGTGTCTCTCGTGCTTGGTTGTGCCGATCTCTAATCCCAGTTATCTCATTCTTAGCAGTTATGCGGACACGTTGCTTAGGAACATCCTATCACTCTAAAGTCATTAACAATGTCGGCATGATCCATAGACCAGCCATCTGCAACTAATGCTAAACTTGCCAATCTATCAGCTCTTTCATTGCCAACCAAACTTGCATTCTCTAGGACAAATATGAAGGAAACTGCACACACCGGAAAGTTGTTTCCAGTACCCTATCCACTGTCTGCAAATAGAGCCTACCCCGACCAGTGGAATCATGCTCACAGAATCACTCGTCAAACACACTCAAGAATAATCACTTGTTAATCAAC